AATCCTTAAACCAACTGTATAAAAATGACAAATCTCTTATCCACAAAGGAAGACAAATAACGATGCCTCAGCAGCTTCATTTATTTTTCAGTCTTTTAAAATGAAACCAGCCAATCACCTCTGAATACCCATAACAATGAAATTTAAAAATACATCAGGACCCAAAAACAAAACAAAAAGCTCATCTATCCGCCACTATTCTCACTCAATCTTAGAGACTAGGGAGGGAAATGCAGAATTAAGGGAATTACCTCTGTAGGGGCAGAAATAGGAAAATGTGGAAAACTAGTTTCATTTTAGGGAAAAAAGTTAAAATTGCAGAGAGGAAGAAAAACCATGGCCCACTTTGCGACAAATGTAGATGGAGAACAAAAAACCGCCTTTATTCCTTTCCTTCAAACCCTTCTTGCTGCTCTCCCCCCTTATTTAGTAGATCAATAAGAAGCTGCCTTCTAGGGGAGGTAATATGCTTTGCAGGAAGCTCACCTTTACAGCCTGCTGATTGCTATCTGTTTTTATGGCCCAAATGAACAGCATCAGCTTCTTCCCTGCCCCCCCCATAAAAAATAAATTTTAAAAACTGTAATAAACCTTGTGAAAAGGTGGCTTAAATTTTTGACTGGCACCACGAAGGCGACCTCTTCATGCTTCAGGGGGCTAAGCCAGAGGGGCTGCGAAGTGAGCTAAGCCGGTGAGCTTACTGAAGGCTGGCCAGCAGACAGAGGAGAGAGGGCGAGCAGTAAAGGCACAAAGACAGGGAAGAGGGGGAGTGAGAAAGGGAGTGGAGCCAGAGCAGTCAATATTGGGTAGTATGGCAAAATCTGTTTAAGGGAAGGAGCTTTGATCTTGATCCCAGTAGTCTTCACCTGGTTTCCAAATCTTACATGGAAAGGACAGACACCAAAGCCAAACCAAGACAAAACAAAACCCACTAGATTGCAAAGAATGGGATCAAGGTAGACATTTCCTTCCCAAATGGACATAAATGGTTAAATTGATCCCGGCAATTAGAATAATTAGATAATTAGATTGTGACTCTGTAGGCAAGAGACAGAAACCTGTTTCAGCTAAGTATATTGGTAGTGAAACACTCTCAGTTATAAAAGGATGTGTTCTCAGTAGGTATATTTCAAATGGCTTGAAGAAAATTAATGGCACAAAAATTTGCATCTGATGGGTTAGGTTTAGCCAGCAGAAGGGATTTTGCTTGGGGCTCCATTAGAGCCTGCACTCCTAAATCCCGTTCTCAATCCCACCATCACCATTGCGCCTCCATCAACAGATTTTTATTTAAGCCAATGCATTTAGAGTACAATTCTGTGGTGAATAACCTTTAAGGTTACATTTGCCTTTTCCCTGCTTCTTGCAAACAGTGCGTAATCCACAAGCACATTTGTTGGCTGTAAAGGTGTACAACAGCAATTTTTGCAATGACAGTGCGGAGAGGGAATATGAGATCTGTGTGCTAATGAGCTGACACTGCAGAGGCTGGGGCGGTGTAGTGTGGAGTGCACTACAAGTGCACAGCAGCAAGACACAGGAGGGGACTTCAAGGGAATCGGAGACGTTTCCTGAGGAACCAGGGCAGCAAAGGCACACAGTGGGACCCATCAGTCCCTTGATGTTTCCACACCCCCACCTACAAAGCCTTAAGACAATCAAATCTGTTTTTTAAAGAACAAACATGTAACTTACATGTGTATACATCTCTTTTCATATATATTGATTGTGTGTGTATGAATGTATGTATCCTGAAGCCAAAATATTCCCACCATTCTTGGTTCTGGGGTTATCTAGCTAAATTGAAAAGTATGGCAGCAAACTCTATTAATCCCCATGAAATGGGAACATGTACTTCAAATCAGGTGAGTTTCTTTGATAAACTTCAATCCATCTCTGAGATGAGATGCCAAAGTAAACCCTTTCAAAGCCAGTGTGGCTCTTATTGGCTTCGTAAGACATGGAATAAAGTTGGAGTCTGTCTCAAGCAAACCTCTTAGGGGTTGTGCAAAAAATTGGTTTCATGAACAAGAGTCTTAAATGACTGATGGGTGGGATTCATTGCAAGGAAACTTTTCAAATACATTGTCAGAGGTTGTAGGGGTGGCTGATGCAGAGGGCGAACCGACAGCAGGAACACATACATGAAGGAATTACCCTTTCTTCATTCTTTGTATATTTGGTTACTTGCACATCTATACCTTAGAAAGTGTGTGCCTGCCTCAGGATTGAGGGTGCAGGAAAGATCATGAGAAGAGATCAATTTTAGTGCTAAGGGAATTTGAAACTAGGAAAACTAGGAATTTTATACGGAATAAGGGAAAGTTCCTCTAATTTTTGCCAGCCTGTTCCATATTGAACCAGACAGGAGAGGTGGTTGGCCACACTGAGACTCATCTGTGGTTTTCAATGAATTCTCCCTAGGTCTCCAGGGACGGGCGGGCTGGAGGATACAGAGGTTTTTCTTTGCACAGTCAGGGCAGTCAATTGGAGGAGTGGAACCTGGGGTCACCTGCCAGGCTCCAGTATTGAACTAGAATTGCATGCCAGTTGGAAATATTTGATCTCCACTTCCACAAGAAAAAGAGCAATCAAAGCCAGGGACAGAAATGAGATACACCTCCAAGGTTTTTTTTTTGCCCCTTGAAATCATTGGTTTCTGCATTCAAAGATTATGGTTAGACCAGTCATCTTTCTCATATTAAGCTACCAGGCAGCAGCTGCCGGGAGACAGCTTTGAGATCTAGCCCCCCTTCAGTGATTGTGACATTCAGAGATGACTGTTTTGGGGACCAGAGAATATGACAGCTTTCCTCTTCTGTCTTCAGAGAAAGCAACAGGCAGCAGGATGCAAAACAACAGTTTCTAGCTATTTTTCCTTCATGTGTCTGTGCATGCATACATGTGTATTTGACATAACTAAGGGCAAGGTCACCTTTTCGTTTCCTTTTTCTTGTTGCCCAGTGAGCCACAACCCTTCTGAACTGTCAAGCTCCTAGCCACAACCCAGCCTTTTAAGTGTAAGTGCTATGAATTTATGGTGAGGGATTTTGATCTTCTCTTGCTTTCTCATGGTTGTTCTTTCATTGCGCTGAGAGGTAAGGCAATAAGGCAACTCAATACCCATATGGATGACTTATTGCCTTTTCCTAAACCTGAGATTTTCACATGGAAAGAATAATTTCTGATTGCTCCTTGAGAGGGGTTCCCACAGTCCAGGACTGGTGGGTGTCAATCTGGTTTGACCATAAGAATAGGACCAAAAACCTTGGAAATCAATCATTTCTGAGAAACCAGTTCTCTTATCCCAATTCTCATCAGTGAAAACACACGGAAGGCATTTAAAATAAATATTATTTGTTATTAATGATAGTAAACCCTGGTAGTTGAATGTATTTAGTTTTAAACCTGTTCTAATTGATATTTAGGAAGCTATATTTGAGATTCAGCCTCTTGACAAGATCACAGTGCTGCAGGATTAAGAATCAGATGTGTGTTATAAATGCTGTGGAGACAGGCTGGGATTACCAAAATAAGATGCAAAGTATAGACAGACATTTTGAAACTTTCACACTTAGCTGGAATTAATAAATTCCTATTTTTGTCAGTTTCAGAAAGCCAAAGAAAGTCAAATATGGAGTATCACAGAACACGTTCATATAAGGATCTGTATCTTCAGCTAAAATTTTCTTAAAGCTGATAACTGTCACATTTCTTGCAAAGTATGTCACCCCCATCCCCTTGGCCCAAGTCTTCAAAGCCAAGGAACCTGTGCCCTTGGAGAGAGACCCTTTCATTGGTTTCTAGAAAACATGTATCCTTTGAGGCAGAAGGATTTAAAGAAAGTCATATACAAAGTTTCACCCATCCAGACATAAATATCATTTCTCCCTTGGAAGAGAAAGGCAAAAAACCCCAAAATTCCAAACTACATCAGCCATAAAAGCAAAGCATATTTTATACCATATTCGGCCTCATTGTTGTGAAAACTTTTAGTGAAAAAAGCTTACATGAAGAATTCTCAGTCTTTCTCACGAAACATTCCATTCAAGTACAACCATATGTCCAACAGGCTATTAGCCATTTAGGTTCCTGTGGTTTTATTTTGCAAAATGTCCCCTTTTCAGAGAAACAGTCACAACTAAGGATTTCAGAAATGGCTTTGGGGCTGATGAATTTCCTCTTTCCATATTCAGTTTTCCTGCTCCAAGCCTCCTCTCCTCCTGCCCCCTTCTTGCTCTAAATTAAGAGCTGTGTTGTCCTTAACAATCATGGGGTGAACAACATTAGGGGAGGCAGAACTAGCTTTCCAAATCATCACCTGATCACCATTTTCTCCCCTCCGCTCAGTTTGCTAGGCGTTCATCACTTGCAATCAGTTTGTAGTCTTATCAGTTCCTATCAGCTCTCTCAGTAAGTAAGGTAATATTTGAGGACAGAAAGAGGCCAGGAAACCCAGCCTGATCTGCCCTCAAGGTCACTTGTTTGCAGAATTTCTCATATTTGCTTCCTACACATTAGGCAATTGTCAAATTCAGCTCGTTCCTACAGCCAGGCACAAGCTTTAGCAGTCAAGTGATGTACATCCTGAATTGACTCAATCAAGAAGCTGCTGCTTCTTTTTTTAATCTCATCTGAAGAAATTTCTCTGAACAACCATGCTATTTTTTTCTTTCTTTCTTTTTTTTCCCCAGTTAAAAAATAAAAGAGTGTTGGAGAGGGAACACTAGGTTACCAGGGAGGAAAATGAAACTTTTGCATCAAACCCTATTTGGAACAGACTTTTGCCCACTGTCTTGAGTTTTTTCCACTGCCTTCAGCCCCTCAGCAGTATCCTTTGGAGTTGATTTATGCAGCATGAAACCGGATGGATTAGAGCCCCTAAAATACCTACTACTGAGGCAATCATCTCCCAACACACACACAGACCCTAAGTGCCACAAGAAAGATGAAAATGAGGTCCCCAACATCTCAAAGGGAGGAAAAGCAAATCTACTTACAAGCATTTGTCACAGAAAAACTATTGGAGGAATCCAAGTGATCTACGTGGTAATTCAAATGGAAGGGCTTCTCGGTGGTGTTCTGGTTGGTGTTGTATAACTGCACGGCAAAGCGGAAAGCGCTGTGCTCCTGCACTGTGTTTCTCATGAAAAGTCCACCTATAAGCAAAGGGAACGGAGATTTGGCTTCTGTTCCCACACGCTAGGGCCAGTTAGAAATTGGGGAACACTATAGATACTGGATACCACTCAATGACACTGGGGTGCGGGATTGAGGATTGAGATTCAACCTGTGTGCCTTTCAAGACTTGTGAACTCAGATTTTGGCCAAGAGAAACCCGGTTTTTCCAGACTGAAGGAAAGAGGCTAGAGAGAAGGGAGAAGAGAAGAGGGGGCTGTTTTGGGGTAGGACGATGGAACCAAGAGTAGGACTTGGTTCTTTCTTAGGAGGTAGCCTTCTTTTTTTCTAGCGCCCCCCGCCCCCCACCTTCCGGCGCTCAGCCGCACAGTGGTTCATCTTTTCCTTGTGTGACGGGAAAGGTTGGCAAGAAAAACAATCTTGTTCCCCCTGCTACCCCAACCCATTCCCCATAGCCACCCTCCCCTGTGACAATACAGGGGGGTTGCTTCACTAATGGCAAAATTTCTAACTTCTAGACTTGTAAATACAGACAGAAGCCAAGATAACTCCCTCCAGGTGCCCAGGAGCCGGGCTCCAGGCAGACACAGCGGCAATTCATGAATTCGTGTTCTGCGTGACTTCGGCACATGCCCGCTCAGCACCTTGTCTTACCCCCGCCTCCTACCCCATCCACCACCGACGCCGGCTGCTACCCGGGTCTGGGATATCCAAAGCGGGCTCCACTTCCCCCAGCACCAGCCTGTCTCCCGACAGCCTGAGACTCTGGACTGAGCACCCCGGGCCCGAGTTATGTGCCCTGGCGCGGCCAGACAGTCGGCATCACCCTGGGACAACTTCCAGCAGCTGCAAGCACGCCATGGCAAAGTCCAGAGCAGCGAGCCGAAAAGCCTCGACTCTTCACCCTCTTGCAGCATCCCAGCCTCCTGCTCACCTCCGGTGCTCCTCTCAGCTCAGAAAACGTAGCAGTCCACCCCCACTAGCCCCAGGAGACCCCTCTCTTGTCCCAGAGGCTCTTCAGACCAGCCACCTCCTTGAGGCTCAGATTCCACCCCCCCCCCCTCCTTCCCCACCATCTCTGCTCGGTCCCCGGCCCCAGTCCCAGTTCCCAGGCCATACAGGACAGGGACCCACCGCAGCGAAAGCCCTGCCGGGGCAGTGGTCTCCGGTGAGCGAGAGCCTGGCCCGACCGGCTGGCTCGCTGGCGCTTACCTATGCTGATGGTGTTGGGGAATCCTCCGTGAGAATGACCCAAAAGCCCCAGGACTAAAAAGAAGACCGCCTGGAGCACGCTTTGCCCCATTTTCTTCTGCCTGGCCATGCTATGCCTAAAACGAAGCTGACAAGAGCATGGGCGCAACTCAGGAGTCGTCAAAATAATAATAGAAAAAGAAAAATAATTCGCTGGCTCTTACACCCCCTCTCCTTAACTTGCTCTCGCTCACTCTTCCTTTCCCCCCACTAGTCTTCCTCCTCCTCCGCTGCCGCCGCCTCCTCTTCTTCCTCTTCTTCTTCTCTCTCTCTCTTACTCTCTCTCTTATTCGCTCTCTCTCGCTCGCTCGCTCTTCCTTTCTTGCTCCCTCTCTCTCGCTCTCGCTCCCAGGATCTCTCACACCCCCTCCCTTCCCCCCACCTCACTTCTGTCTTCACACCAATCTGGAAGGCGGGTTCACTGGCTGCAAGCTGGGTTCGCCAAAGCGATTTCTCTCCCTATGAGAGAGGAGAGAGGCGAGAGGCGAGAGGCGAGAGGCGAGAGAGAGAGAGAGAGAGAGAGAGAGAGAGAGAGAGAGAGAGAGAGAGAGAGAAACAAAAAACCTGAAACATAGAACAAAATGAGCGAAACACCGAAAAACAAAAACAGAGAAGCAAAATAAAGAGAACGAAAGAAGAAATTACAAAGACAATCTGAGACTCTCTCCCCACGCCCCCCGAAAAAGATGGTAGGTCTAAAGAGGGGGGAAAAAACGGAAAGAGCGAAAAGGCTCAGTGCTCATGAATTGGGCTCTTCCAATTGGGCCGGTAGGGGGATATTGATCAAAGTTGATCTGACGTGGAATTAAAGCCGCACACCGCTTAGCTCCACTGCAAACTGCAGCCCCGGACTGCAAAGCCTAGGCGCTGGCGTTTGTCAACACGGGAGATGGGATCAATGGAAATACACCACTCCTAACGTGGATCAACCTTTCAAGCTGCAACCTCCTCCCCCACCCTTTAAAAAAAGCTGCATTGCCTCTGTGTCTGTGTCTGTCTTAAAGAAGGGGGGCCTTAGGAGGGCCATTAGTGGTTACTCCGGAGTCTTTGTAGAGACTCGCAGAAGCAGTTCCCATCACAATGCGCCCGAAGATGCTGCGCATGCCCGGTTTCTGCCGCTCCGCTTTTACAGCAGAGATCCGAGGGCGAGTGAGGAACCCCCCACCCCCATCCCCGCAGCTTTGGGAGGTGTGTCCCTCCCCTTAAGCTAGTGCTGAGGCCGGCTTGCGGAGGCATGGAGTGGGCGGTGCTGGGCAGTGATGGGCAGTGTGGGGCTGACTTCTTTGGAGGGTGTAGGAAAAAGTATGTGCGTGAAGGTAGTAACTAAAAGGTTAATGAAAAGGACGCTCAGTCTCAATGACCAAGGAGGAGGGAAGTGTGGGAATGAGCTGGTCTGGGGGTGGGGATTGAAACTTGAGGTCGGAGAAAACTGTCACTAGCTGCATTGCTCTGGATTTAGCTACCTAGGCCCCTGATGACCTCAGAGGTTATCAATTCTTTCTGACTCTTTTTCCCCTCTGCTCTTAGGTGAGCACAAAAACCTATGAAGTACTACAGTACAGCCTGGATTTCAGTGACTGCTTGCCTTCTCCATAGCAAGTTGTGGATGAACCTCCTGGGCTATAGACTCCTCTCCCTAGCCCCTTTCTCTTGCAATGAGTAAAAAGAATCCTCTTTATGTCTCATGCTTTTCACTTTTACTTTACAGTTACTGAAGAAGGCATAGGTTTTATCCTCCCTACACCTGCTATTTTCCTTTTCATACCCTCTCCTCCTGGTCTAAGTGGAGCATGAACTTTCCTGCTGGTGTAAAGTGAACTGATATACACTGGGGATACAATTGCAGATATAAAGGCAATAGAAGGACCCTGGAGCCCAGCTAGTACATCAGTTGCTCCAGAATTCTGGATTTGGCAAGACATAGGCTGGAGCCTGGAACAATGGAATGAAAGGGCTTCAAACCAGAAAAATTGTCCTAGGCTCTTCCCAAATTTCTATTCATTCTGATAATGCATAATTTCTTCCACCCACCACCCATGGAAATCTTTTGTCTCCATTTTGATATTTCATAGACAAGAGTGTTGGGGAAACATGAGAGTCTGAGGAGACTCATCTTTTCGGTGGAAGAAGCATTAGGGCAAAGCGGGTAGCAGAGATAAGTTTGGTTACCCCATGCCAAATGTAGACAGGGACATAACATCATTCAGGAACATGGTCTTAGAAGGCATACAAGTCCAGGTTCAAGTCTAAATCACATCACATACAGGCAGTTGGCGACCTTCAACAACTTTGTTAATCTGAACCCTAGTTCTCTCATCTTCAAAATAGGAATATTAATATCTTTCTTTATAAGGCAATTGTGAAGATTAAGTAAGATAATTGATATGAAAGCATCTAATTCAGTGCCTGCCTCAGAGAAAAATCAATAAATGTTAATTTCCAAACTCCCTTCCTTCTTTCTCACCTACTGAAAGTGCCCTCTTGACCCCAAATTTCCTCATGTTGTCATCCTCCTCTCTCCTCATATTCCACATAACTTCGGACCTGCTATCAAGTCTATGCCAATGTTCCACATTAAAATCTTGCCATCGTAGCTCCTCAAAAGGCCCAGGAGACAATTTTTTGCTAAGGTTCTAATGGCAGGCAGTGACAATCTAATATTAAAAATGACACATTTAAAGAACCTCTATTCTGTGCCAGGCACTAGGTGTTTCTCCTTTTAGATAACACAGTTGCATTTTAATAGGAGCCTTCAATGCCTTGTCCCAAAGGAACAACTTTAATGAGGAGGTTTTAGTTTTGATTTCATGTGGGTGAACAATATATTTTGTGCCAGGGGAAAGTGACTTTCAGCATGTCTCACTTCACTCCTGAAAGTAGCCAGGTCCCCATCCATGCTAGACTAGCTATAAGAGGAGATGGAAGAAAAACTCTGTGGCCATCTTCATTGTCATTTGGCTTGAAGAATGCTGAAGGTGGATGAGTAGCTGAAGATGAGAGACTGAAAAATATTTTGGTGACTATGCACTTGAAAACCCTCCACTGAAGTCATGACTGTGAATGACACCCATCCCTTCCATTTTCATCCTCCCCTGCCCACCACCTTTTCCCCCCTCTCTTTTATCTGCTGCCACTCTTTCAATTTTTAGCTGCCAGTGGCAGCTGTTGGCAGAGTTGGACTAGTCTCATTTGAGCCGGCAGGGGCACAGTGGTAGACTAAGCATATTGCTGTTGGTTGAAAAGCCTGTATAATACATGCAAATTCTTTAGCAATCGATACCTTACTCAAAAGAGCAGTGAGACACTTTGTAAACTTCAACTTTGATTTTCCAACGAGGAGTTAGAGATTATTTTAGCAGCATCAAAGCCACCAGAAGTTGCCAGCAAAGCCCCAAACCTAGCTCTCCCTCTGTGGTTAAGAGGTATCCCTGCTGGATTTAGGATTACCATCTAGTCTAGTACCTATGGTTTGTACTTTTAAATGAGCTCTGTATTATAGTTTGAAAAGCAAGAAAATAATCCATTGCAGTTTTTATCAAAAAGTAAAAACTATGCTGCTTTTCATGAGCTTTGTGCTTGGTTCAGGCTTGAGATAGGTGCACTTGGATAAGCAGAAAGAACTATTGGCCAGTGGAATTCTAAGAGGGGATCTATATCATACATTGAGCCTCATACTTGCTAACTTCATAAAAATCAGGAAAACAACAACAGAAATCATCCTAATTCATTGGAAGGAAGCTGCTATACCCTTCAAAGATAATGAAACCAAGATACTATATCCTTTGCCCAATGGGAATATAATTTCCTAACCATTTCACTTCATACTTTGATTTCTTCAACAAATATTTATTGACCACCTGCTATATGGCAGACTTTGTTAAGCACCAGAAATATGAGGAAGCAAGGAACAGTTTCTGCTTTTAATGAATTTCAAGTTCAAAGGAGGAACAGATGTATTCACCGGCAATGACAATGCAATATGGTAAGTGTGCTCTGAAAATGGTAAGCAGCAGGTACCATGGCAGCACAGAGGATGGTGTTTAAATATCTGAAACAAGGTACTTCCCTTATCCCAAACCCTTAAAAACACAAGATAGAATGAAGTGATTTCTAAGCACCTTTTCTGCTTTTATGTTTGATCATCCTATGATTCCGTGAGGTAAGATTATTTTGGGGTTAGAACAACTGTCCAATCTTCAGCCAAGACTGTAATCAAGGAACGAAGCTAGATACAACTGATTCTTTGTGGCCATCTTTTGCACTGCCACTTCCAGATTATTTGGGAAGAATAGAGAGTTTAGTTGTATCTGGAGATTCAGGTTGGACATGACTTCTAAGAAAGCTTAGGTCCTCTGACCTACTTCTCTATAATTCTATTTTCTCCATTTCTCCAGAAACCTCCGTGGAAAGCTTTTATCTAGGCATTGGCTTCCATGTTGATAAATCTACAGTCCTGAGAAGCTAAAACTTCAGACACAGGCCTAGTTGGAACTGCTTCTGTTGGAAATGTATCTATGAGTCAGAGAAAAAGCCTTATTAATTTGACTTTAATAGGCCAAGAAATTGATCCACTGAAACTCCTAGAAGGAGACAGTTACATCAAATGAGCAGTAGCCATGGGAGCAATTGTTTCTCCTAAATTATTTTCAGATTAGCTTGCTTTGTACACCTGATAAGGGTGTTTAGAACTCCATGTTTTCTTTGAAGACATCCCCGGGAGAAATGTGGAGGAGCACTTAATTGGAGGTGACCTGCTATTTTTTGTACCTCTCTTCCAAGCCCTTCCTCTCTGGACTAAACATTTTTATACTACCTTCTTTAAGCACCCTCAGGGTTAGTAACCATGCTGTTGAATGGTCCTATATCAGTTAGATTACTTCATGCTGCAGGCAAGAAAAAATCCACCAAAACTGATTCAAACGCTAAGGAAGGCACATTGACTGATATAACTGGAAGGGCCAAAGGTATGGCTGACTTGAGAATTCATTAGACTCAGTAGTTCAACAATTTCATCAAAAACCTAATTTGTTTTCCTCTCTCCTTTCTGTTTCCCTCAAGATGGCAAAATGACTCTAGGATTTCTTGGCTTCACATCTATGTCACATCATCTTGTATTGGTTGGAAGTGAATCATATGACTATTCATGATCCAATCTTGTGGTCGGGAAATGCCAGGCTTAGCCTGAAGTACCTGAACCAGTAGCCATGGCCTAGGGGACCAGAATTATGATCCATCTGTACAGTTTAGTGTAGGGTCAGTCTTCCTACTACCACCAAATTGCATGATGGATAAACAGTGAGGGAGAGAGATATGGAAGTTGGGAAACAATCACAATAACCACTGACATTCCTGTCTTCCTGAAGGCCTGCTCCCTGAGAATTGTGGGTGGAAATAATTTTATTCTTCAGATGTTTACAGGCCCCTGAAGACTTGCTGAAAAGGTTTGTCTTTGGTCGGTTGTAGGTAGACTTCTCAATGCTGAGATCCTTTTGTTACTTTAGTAGTACAGCCCCCTAAATTTAGTTCAAAATGCATCTGCCTAATATTTTACTTCTGTTCTTAACAGAGTAATGTTATATTGAGAGTCCAAGGTGAGAAACTAATATAGAAATCATTTCTTTTCTAGGCAAATAGGCTTCTAGAGACTTTCAGGTAAAAATCTAGAGATTCCTCTGCACATTCTTCTCAGGATAAGCAGAGGTGTCACTCT